TGATAAAGATTGTTGGACAAAAAAATAAATTGTATTTTTAACGAATTACCTTGTAGATAAAAGAAAATTGTTGTTTCCACCAGATGCTGTCCATCCTTTATCCACATAGAGCTCAGGTATTACAATCTTACTTTTCAAAGTTTTATTCATAACATCTAATGCTTTTTTTAACCCGTAGAGATGTCGATCACAACCTCAATTTCAGAAAAATAAAATCTGTTTTAATAAAAATTTTGAATTTGCAACTTACTGTTCGAGAGTATCTGAAAGTGTTTACAGTTATTGCTAAACTTTAAAGCATAATTACTCTAAAAAATAATATACTAATTTACCTTGGCCAGACATGGCTGCATTCATTAACTGGTTGTGCTTGTGGTAAGCCTTCCAGAAGAACAATCTCATATTGTCATTCTGCAGTTGAATATATAAGAATTCATAAGTTGATTAGAAAATATATATTTGCCACAAATTTTTTACAATTTCTACATGGAGAAAGCCAGAACTTCTAAGACAACTAAGTGTAGAAACAAAACGCATAATCAGTTTAATCACTGATTATTTGTTACACTCTGTTCAACTTGTAAGTCTACGAGACCGATAATACAACTGGCTATATAAACAAAATTCCAATTCCGGAAACGGTGATTAGGCAGCACATATGGCTCGAAAATATCTTCAAGTTATTATAAATAAAATGGAAATTTTTTTTTACCGTCAAATTTGCAGGTTTTTTCGCAAACGAATGTACGAACGTTGTAAGTTCTGACGTACACGATCGAACAGTTTCTGTTCGACCACGGTAAAAAGCTCTTGTTGAAGCCGTCTCATAGGTTGGGGCAAAACTAAACAATTTTCAAACGTTATGATAAAACAATTCCTGTTATTTTGTGAAATAATTTAAAGTACTAATATATCAAAAAATAATTAGTTTCCCCAATATTTCTTCACTACCTGTGATGAGTTAAGTAATAAGCAAGTTGCAATGCCATTTGCACAATTGTATCGCCATAGATTTTTGAAGCTCTAAAGCGCAGATTTCCAAATAAAGTGAAACGAATTACCTTCACAGCCACAGAAGATCCCTATAACCATTCCGGTACATAGGTGACACTTATTCATATTAATTTCTCAAAAAATAACTATTTTAACATCAGAAAACAGCATACTACTACTGGTTTATGTCAGCCACACTAAAACTTTTAAAACCGTACAATAAAGATAAAAAGCAATTACAAAAAATAGAGAGCTTTAAGCAAAGTACATCGACAAATTTACTTTTCAAGGATCAACCATCTATTCAAAGAGTAAACACCTCTTTTTTGCTGTATCTTTTCAGTTCATTCAAAACCTATTAAATTACCCTGAAACTAAAGACTGATCCCTAGTTGTAGACATTTTAATAAAAAAAATTTACATTTATCATTGTTTTAGAAATAAGACAGACCAAACTTACAAGTTTCATGAAAGAGTTTTGCGCGCTGTCAATAGCGTTTATAAGGTAATCGTCAAGTGAAAACTCAAGTTTAACTGGTAACTCAAACAAACCATCCTGTGAACAAGCAGCTAGTTTTAAACATAATATTATATGAGCAGTTTACCATGAAAAAGCACAATTTTTTAAGGCAGTAATATCCAAACCAGAAAAAGCTACTTTAGTATTCCATAAGCTTTTAAGAGCGTTCGCGGAGGCTGTACCAATTACATCAAATGCAACAATAGCATCAACATTGGTATGCTGTAATAAATTTTGAAAATCTAATGTTCACATAAACGATGAACTGTCTGTTACACGTGAAGCATATAAGAACAATATTTAACATGGTTACCTCAATATTTAGTGAGCAGCGTCCGTCTTTGTGAAACTGAATATTCAGTGACTTGTCACACCACTGATTTTGATCATCGCCAAGAAGGGCATATTGTAAAAGCTATATGAAATCAAAGATAATTTTGTTAATCGAATATTTGCAAATTGTTAATGAAAACGTGAAGATTTTAAGATTGAATTTTTTGTATTCAGGGTTTGTCACTGCTGCTGAAGCCCTACTGGCGAAAAGTAATTGTAGTTTAGTACTTTTCTTCTTCGTAAATAAAACCATAGAACAAAGTATCTGCTAGTTTTAATGACTTTTTTCGAGCACCAACCTGATCTTCACTGGTGAATGTTTGATCTGTTAAATTTAAAACAAAAACACTTTGTTCAATCAGTGCCAAGTTTTCAGCGTTTGTTGCCGATAAAGACAACAGGTAGTTGCGATGCTAAAAACAAATCTAGTGTATAAATACGTTCTGTATTATACACTTGTTTTATTCCCAAATCAACGTGCTGCTTCACTAAAAAGTGCTTAGATATAGTGAATCCCAAAACTCCGCCATTGTGCATAATACTTCTTTGAATGAAGTTAACTTTGATAAAGCTAAAATTTTTGCCAAGGTCGCTTCTTTTGCATTCTTCGTTGTATGCACTTTTCGCGGCACATGCGGCTTTCGTATTTAATTTATGTTTTTGAATGCAAGTAAAACAGTCTGTCGCAAGTTTATAAGATGACTTTCGAATCATCCAGATTTTTTTGCGTAATACCTAACTAGAGCTGTTCCACGAGTTCTTTATATATTCTTGCTGTTCAGTCACAAATGCAGAAATAGTTCAGAAAATGCTCTGCTTTATGATACCAACCTCATTGAAGGGTGAGGAGCACCTTTCAAGAGAAATCACGAGTTGAAAGTACCGACCTGCAGCTTTTTTTAATAATTAGAGTGAATTATGAGTTTCTTTGCTCTCCGGTTGTCTATTCTCCAGTATTATGCATTCCAGCAGGTGACACTAAACCCGCTCTTTATTGCTGCCAGTATTTTTCAGCATCACGTTAGCTTTAGGTAAAAATATGAAAACCACTAATGTAATCTTTCTTAATATTACGTTCGCCAATTTCCAGCAGTTGGCTCAGTAGAATAGTGTAGGTATCAGCCGGCTCCTGTTGAACATTTGGTCCCTTCCTGATGCTGGTAAAAAATTTAATACTTTCACGTGAAGCTAATGTAGTGCTCTACACTTGATAATACCAATAGAAAAACATTTTTTTTGAAGCTACCAAACGAAGTGTACATTACTGAAGAGAAAAAAAATTTGAAAACGCAAAGAAAGAACTATACTTAGTCTTAAAACAAGTTTCAGATTGGTATTTTCAATCCGCAACTTAGCCCGGAAAGTAGTGCTCATCCCTCGACAGAGCTAGAAACATGAGATTGCACACTTTCTGAACTACGCCACCAACACCTCTGTATCTGTGAGTTGACGACGGGAATAAAGTAAAAAAGTCCTAGAACCAATTCCGATATCACGTAAAAAAAAACCTGGATAGGTCAAAAAACTTTTCTTAGCTATAAAAAAAGCCGTACAACTTACAGGAAAAACTCAAAAAAGGACAAAAACAACCTCGAAGAAGAATTTAGCTCCCCAAAAGTTAATTCAGTCTAAAAAATTAAAGCGCACATTAGCGAAGTGTTGGAATCCACCCAACATGAGCACTTTCCGCTACAGCGAATCACAGAACTAGCTTGGAAATGAGAACGAATCTAGATATATTCTTGAAGCAAAAACAGCAACTAAACGTCGTTTTATTGTCAGAAGAGTTTGAGTTTTACCTGAGCCCAAATATCTCGTTTTTCACTGGTTAGGCTAACCACTGAATGCACATTCTGTATTGAATTCTGCTGTATGTAATTCAGCTGATTATAAAAATGTTCAGGTGTTATCAGCCTACCATTATGAAATGTCTCCAACTTCCAAATGGTACCGCGACATAAAACCACTACATGACTTGGGCATGTACCTTCTGCTTCTGAAATTTAACATTTGAAAATTGCAGCAAAATTTTTTCCTCCAAAGCTTTATAAATCGTTGCTACAGTCTAGAGTCTTTTAGAGATTCCTCTGGTGCTATAAATGACCAAGGCAAAACAGTCGTTGCATCTGGTCCTTATTGGTTCTCGGTAACCTTGTAGAGTTGAATAAGACGTAGTACTGATGCATATCCCACAATTTCCCTCTGCTTTTTGTAATCGTTTTTTCTTCTCTAAAATTTCTGCCATTTACTACTTTGTGATCAAAAATGCTTAGCAGAATGCTATAGGTTAGAAGAAGCTGCTTCATTAAAAATATATAGTAAAATTCATCTTTAAAATATTTTTTTTTATCTGTTCTAGACCATTTATCACTAGAGAGTACAATTAACAGCAAAAACCTTCTGATGCTGAGCCAGATCTTCATCATTTCAAGCGTATGGCTAGCGGCTCGGTAAAGTTGAACGTCCTTAGCAGGAGTGAAATGTTGCTCACTAGCAACGATATTTGAAAATGGCATCAGCGGTAGTCGGTTTTCAAGATAACCATCATACCACCACTCGTCAAGCTGACAAAAATTTCTTATGAAAAACGCTAGACCAACTAGAAGAATACAGATGGTTATATTTCGGTACTTTGGTAATAATTTTGACCTTAGAAATTAAGATTTTTTTGAAACGGCTCAAAAACATCTTTGCAATACGAAGTGAACCTTAAAACCTTGAGCTAAAAACTACAGTTGACCGCAAAAACATTTATTTATAGCAGTTTTTAGTAAAAATCAGTGCAAAGACAGCCTTTTATTAAAATTAAATAATAGAAAAGATCAGCTGGGTTAGGCAAATCTTCGATCATAACTGCAACAATTAAGTAATGAGAAACTGTTTCTAAGTATCCTACCCAGTTACGTGTTGTTATGGCTCGATAGTATAGAAAATTCTGTAGCCGTTTAGCAACTTCGCTTTGTCCAAATTCTTTCACAACTGTGATTGTTCTATGTAGCTCTTTATCATCAAGAAAAACCTTTACTAAATAAGACAATAGCAAGTAAACAAACAGTTGAAACATAGATATACAATTCGTGATTCAATAATATATTGGCAATTTCTGTAGACTTATTTTATTAAATAACTTTTAATTTTTTGTAATTTATATCTATCAACAACCAAACTTTTCGACGTATTACCTGACTCCAAATAACGGTCTAGTGTTTCAAGAAGTTTTGGTACAGGTAATGGTGGCAGATATTTTTGGTTCTCAAACGTTTTCATTGAAAAGTTGTCTTTCAAACACTCAGTAGTGATGTGTCAACAATATGTAGCTGAAACTGTTTTACGGTACAAAAATTTTGCTTGAAATATACCTGAGAAAAAAACGATAATTCAAATAGTTTTAGCAATTTAAAATTACTCCCATTATTATAAATATCAATTTATATATGTAACAAATGTATTAAAATTTTAATGAAGTAAAATCCAAGTAATATTTTTATAAACGATCACATTAACTTACGAAGAAAGGAAATTGGTGTATGTGCTCAAAAGCATCTGAAACAAA